GGTGAGTTGAGCGCTGGCACCACAGCCTGTCATCGTCACCCTCTGCTGCTGAGCCCCATCCAGCCTTCTAGCTGCCTTTGGTGCCACATCCCTTCACCCACCTTCGTTTTAGGAAGTTCCTCCCCTCCTCTCTCTTCTTCCTTCACGGTTGGCTGCTTATATATACACACAACTCCTTGTCAATTTCAGGGCATGGCCCCTCCCAGCAGGTCAAAACACTGACCAATCCCCTTTCAGTAGGCCACAGACACTTCATTCACAAAATAGTGTAATTCATCTCATTGCATAATCTATTGGCCAATCCCTGCAAGGTACATGCCAATCACAGGGCAGAACCAGACAGGGTAACAAACCTTCCGGGGTAGAAAACTAGAACCAAGGTCCCTTTTCCAGGCTTAGTAGGAAAACCTGTGGAGCTCCTTGTCTTCCGTCTCTTGGCTCTTCTCCACTTCTTCAGCCTTCTTGCCTCACCTGTTGTGCTGTGTGCTCTGCAGCATTGTAGCTGTATTTAGTGTGTCAGGAGGCACACACAGCCTTGTTAGTCTTGAGCACAGCTATCACCTTGCCGTCAGCTTTTCCTGGGCCTGGACACAAACCTCTACACACCTGCAGCCAAGGCCCCGCTGAGACCTGTGTGCAGAGCGTCGGGAGGACTTGTTTCTCCTTCTTCTACTGTGTCTCATTGCTGTGTGTCTACCCGGTGTTAGGCTTCCCCGATATGTAACCGCTAGCTGTACCGTCAACAGTGGGCTCATTACCACCCACCCTAGTCCTGTCCCCCCACAATCCCCCGCACTCATTCCTAGCTGTAGTGTCAACAGTGGTCTCATTACCACCCACCCTAGTCCTGTCCCCCCCACAATCCCCCGCACTCATTCCTAGCTGTAGTGTCAACAGTGGTCTCATTACCACCCACCCTAGTCCTGTCCCCTCCACAATCCCCCACACTTATTCCTAGCTGTAGTGTCAACAGTGGGCTCATTACCACCCACCCTAGTCCTGACCCCCCACAATCCCCCACACTCATTCCTAGCTGTAGTGTTGACAGTGGGCTCATTACCACCCACCCTAGTCCCCTGTCCCCCCCACAATCCCCCGCACTCATTCCTAGCTCTGTCACCTGCTCCTTCATCATAGGATTTCCACTGCACAGCCCTCAGCCTGTCCTTCATCCAGCATGTCTCTGCTTTCAGGTTGTTGGCGTGAAGCAGAGAAGGAGGAGACCCCTTGTAAACAGGACGTTTGTGTGGGAGGAGGAGTGTCACAAGTTATGGCTCTGTCCAACCAGAAAGCCAAGCTCTGTGAGAGGTCTGACCCACACCCCAAGCAGAAACCCTACGTGTGTGGGTCAAGTGTGGGAAACCTCTTACGTGGTGCAAAGTTTGGCCAGCAGCAGGAGCAACACAGTGGAGAGACTCCGCCTGGGAAGGCTGATGCTCAGGCCACGTTTGTGAAGAGCCGCGTGGTCCACATTTCTAGGTGGCCCTTCATGTACAGGGAGGAAGGAATGGACATCCTGGACAGCCCTGGCCTCCTCCAGCAGCAGACCACTCACGCTGGTGCGAGCTCATCCCCAATGACTGAGTGCACAAAGGGCTCCCTGCAGAGCCCCACTCTCGGGCAGCCCCACAGCCCCCACGCGGCTCAGACACTGGTCACGTGTAGTGACTATGATGAAGCGCTTGTGAAGACGTTCACCCTGGACAGCTGGATTGCTCAGACTGAGAGACCCTTCAGGTGTCTCGCAAGTGGAAATGCTTTCGAGGAGAAAGCAACTCTTATTAGATGCAGAAAAGCTCACAGTGGAGATACAGTTCATGTGTGTAAGGAGTGTGGAAAGGCCTTCACTCACCTGTACCACCTCAGAACACACCTGAAATTTCACACCGGTAAAAGGCACTACACATGCAGTGAGTGTGGGAAGGCCTTCAGCCGCAAAGACACTCTTGTCCAGCACCAGAGAGTCCACACTGGAGAAAGGTCCTATGACTGCAGCCAATGTGGGAAGGCCTACAGCCGAAGCTCCCACCTGGTTCAACACCAGAGGATCCACACTGGAGAGCGGCCTTATAAATGTGATGAGTGTGGCAAGGCCTTCAGCCGCAAAGACACGCTCGTCCAGCACCAGAGATTTCACACTGGAGAACGGCCCTATGAGTGCAGCGAATGTGGGAAATTCTTTAGTCAAAGTTCCCACCTTATTGAGCACTGGAGAATCCACACTGGGGCACGGCCCTATGAGTGCATCGAATGTGGGAAATTCTTTAGTCAAAGTTCCCACCTTATTGAGCACTGGAGAATCCACACTGGGGCACGGCCCTATGAGTGCATCGAATGTGGGAAATTCTTTAGCCATAACTCCAGCCTCATTAAACATCGGAGAGTCCACACAGGCGCCAGGTCCTACGTGTGCAACAAATGCGGAAAAGCCTTCAGCTGCAAAGACACACTTGTTCAGCACCAAATAATTCACTCCGGAGTGAGGCCATATGAGTGCCTTGAATGCGGGAAAGCTTTCAGCCGCAAAGACACGCTCGTTCAACACCAGAAGATCCACACTGGAGAACGGCCTTATGAGTGTGGCGAATGTGGGAAATTCTTCAGCCATAGCTCCAACCTTATCGTCCACCGGAGAATTCACACTGGAGCAAAGCCTTACAAATGCAGCGAATGTGGTAAATGCTTCAGCCATAACTCCAGCCTCATTTTGCACCAGAGAGTCCACACAGGAGCGAGGCCTTATGTTTGCAGTGAATGTGGGAAAGCCTACATCAGTAGCTCCCACCTTGTCCAGAACAAGAAAGTCCACACTGGAGCAAGACCTTATGAGTGCAGTGAATGTGGGAAATGCTTTAGCCGCAACTCCAGTCTCGTTTTACACCAACGAGTCCACACTGGAGAAAAGCCTTATGTGTGTGGCGAATGTGGGAAAGCCTACATCAGAAGCTCCCACCTTGTTCGGCACAGGAAAGTGCACACTGGGGACAGGCCTCCTGAGTGAGTGCAGTCATTTTGATGAGCCTATAGCTGCATCTCATTCATTTATTGGCACCAGAATGTTCACAGTAGAGAAAGGTCTTACAAGTGCGTAAAATGTCACATCCCTAAGTAACCTTTCTGAGAGAGCCATTAGACAGCCATCGGGAGCCTTGTCCTTTCAGATGCCCACACTGGGGAGCTTCCTGTTGTGTGCCACTTGCATGGGAAGCTGGCACACGTTGAATTGCACTTTATGAACTGCCCTGGGTTCGTTTCCTGGGCCACCACTGCCAGTGCCTATGTTGGGAGCCGTCTCATTGCCGTCAGCTACCTGAGTTCCACAGTGCACATCAGTCGCCCTAATGTGGTTGGGAGGACACACTGTGTTCCCTTCTGCATTCCCTGGAGAGACTCGTTTTCTCCTGTCCCTAGCTTCTGAGCAGACGTGATCTAGCTATGGGCAAAAGTCCTTGAGCTGGGAACGATGGGGCTTTCAGAGAAGGTGCCTCTTCGTCATGGAGAATGTTAGCTGTACAGGTGATACCTGTGAGGGGTTTGTCCTGCTTTTAAGTCATCCAGTTTTGTGGCTGCCTTTCTCTTACTGCTATGATTTTATATATTGTGTTAGCCTGTACCCTTGGGAGTTCTAGTTACGGGGTGGAGTGGGTTGAGAAAAGAAATGGGTCTGTCAGCATGAAGTGGGGAACAAACACCCTTTGTGAAGACCCCACCTTTTGTGTGCCTAGAGGAGATAAGAGGATGGCAAAGACTAGGTCTCAGCCAAGTTTGACTAAACCTGCTTGTTGCCCAAGACGACCTACCAAGTAGAGCTGAAGACTCTGAGTCGGATCCTGAGGCAGGAGTAGGTAGCTGGTGCCCTCCAGGGCAGTGGAGAGCCGTCTAGGGATCCTCCACACTCCGAGCACCATGGCGGAATCGCCGTCTCCCAGGCCTGTAGGGGGACCAGCCCACTGGTGTTCTCTAGACGGCTGTCATTGACTGTCAGCTACGGGGTCTGGTAGGCATCGCTGGTGCAGCCACTGGGTGTTCCGGGGGGAACTGCACACAAGGTAGGGTGTGTCCATTCTAAAATGACATCACAGATGTTCACGTGAGTGTGGCTGTGTGGGGTGGGGGTGTATGTCAGTGCTGCAAGAGGTCCAGAGCTTCCATAGCGTGTTGAACTTTCTGGATCTCACTGCACAGGTAGAAGGTCCAGGGCTGACAGAAGACAGGTGCTTTAGCCCCTCTCTGACCCCGCGGCATTCCCCTCAGCTGAAGTGGACACAGTCTTCAGTGCCCTTGTTTCTGCTGCTGCTGAGACTGGTCTCCGTCTCCTGCGTGGTAGGAAGGTGGGGTAGGGTAGAGTCACCATAGTTGATGGATCTAATTTTCCAAGAGGTGGTTGTTGGGTGCCATTGAGTGGGTCCAACTGGACAATCCCATGTGACGCAGTAGAACTGCCCCATAGGGCAACTTTTACGCTATAGCTTTAAGGAAGCAGATTGCCAGGTTTGTCTCTCCTGGAGTAGCTGGGTGGGTTTGAACCATTAACCTTTTGGTTAGCAGCCAAGCACTTAGCCACAAATGTGGTAGATAATGGCTTTTTATGCAGAACATGGTGTTCTTAACCCCTTTATTGAGTTCTGAAGGACATGCAATAAAATGCACATATTTCAAGTGTAAGCGTTGATAGTTGATGTGTTAGCATATGTACACACCTTTAAAACCATCAACATAGTG